CACTTCTAAACAATAAAAGTGTAGCTCATGAATCCTTTTTATCAATGCAATTATATTAGGCACTTAAAATGCCAACTTGTATCCAATATACACTTTTTCAATCCATTGCATCATCAGCTATTTTTAACCAGTACACCAAATGAGCATATCGGGGGCTCTTTCCATCCCTAAGATATACTGTTATAATGAGAAATGATACGATATAAATTACTATCAAAAATTCACCACAGGGACAAAAAGGATTATTCATTATCTTATTTTTTAAACCCTCATGACTTTAGTTTTTTCCATAAAGCACAAAAGGAGATGTTTAGAAGAATGTTCAAACTTATTTTCCATATGTTACATTTTAAATCTGTTGTTTGGCTTTGAGAGTCTTGAAAAAACGCAGACATACAGATCACTTTTGTGTTGCTTTTTAAAGCTTGGCGTCCATATATTTACAACACAGGCTCATCTATATACATTTCTGGAGATCATAAATTATGTAGCCAGAGGTACGTATGACTGCATTTAGTCTTTAAAACACGCTACGAGGCAGAACGACTGCGTTCCTTTTGCACTACAAGCGGACCACTTACCTCCATGTTATTGCCATTTTGTCCTGCTAGCTCGCCATGTATGTCATTGGACTTGAGATGCAGAGAGGGTTTCCCTCAGGGTCTCCGGTTTACTCCCGCAGGCCAAAGACATATGACATAAGAGAACTGACCGAACCAAATCGTCAGCATGGATGAACTCTTAATCAGCAATATATCTCTCCATAGCAATCCCTAATCTTTCTTTCGCCATAAACAAGCAGGGGAGTTCTCGAGACTCTGGAGCTCAAACTCCACTCTCGCTCTGCAAACGGGAGGGAGCCCCAGCCTCGAGGATCTTATGAGTTTAGGGTTCTCTCCCAAGACAGCATGCCAAACTTGCTTTATAAGCAATAATCAGCCAAGTGTGAACCCTTGAAATGGATTGCTTCTTCAGTTGGTGGGCAGGTCAAACTGTGCTTTTAAAAACACTATTGGTTGGGTTTAGTTAAGGAGGACGGTGGGTCAGTTGATCAGTCAGTCAACAGTGGCCTTTTGTGGATTTATGCAAGAATGGCACTAGCGAGAGAAATTTGAGATCTCAAAAAACATACACAGCAGCCTCTGGTGGACTCGCAAAAACAAAAACTGCAAAAAAATGTACCTCTTGGGATCCATTTGGCACTCTCCAGAAATGTATTTAGCAGTACATTCCAGAATGGGTTGCATATCCTGTTGTACGCAATAGAGCATAAAACTGTTAGCTTTTCCAATACATTTTCTATCACAAACAAATATAAAACTTACTATTAAGGTTAAATTGGCCACTCTGGCCCTTTAGAATCCATATCGGTCAACCACTATTCACTGTAAATGCTACATACAGTACACTATAGCACAAATGTCTCCTTACTTGTAACATGAAGTTCTCTGCCTGTCTCTGTCTCCTCATTACAGATGTGTCTGAACCGACAGTGTCAGAATGTCAGTGTGTTTGGGGTGCACAAGTGCTCTGCCAAGTGCAATGGAAGAGGGGTAAGTTTTCTGAAATCTTCTGTAAAAAAAAAACATTTATTTAATCTCTGCAGTTTTTCTGACATTAGCTATCATGCACTGGAATAAGATGCTGGTAATAAGTCCGCACAAATGAGTGTCCTCTGAAAGTCCTGCCCTCTGCAGTGTAGCTGTCTGCCAGGGGGACATCACTTAGCTAACTAGGTCCACATACTGTAACTTCACATGAACTAGATTACAGCTATGATTGAAATAGCCCCTGAAAGCACAGATAAACGTGGATTCTGCAATAAATTAGATCACAGCATAACCTTGTGTTGATAGCTTGATGCCTGCGACCATTGGAAGTGACACACTGCACTTTAAATCACATTCTGTGATCATTTATTCATCATGTTGCTTTTTTAACCCATGTTGACTTTCGTTTTTTTTTTTTTTTTTTTTTTTGGCATGAAACACAAAAGGAGATGTTTAGAAGAATGTTTCAACTGTTCTTTTTTTCTATATAGTACATCTTTAAGCTTTTATTTTGCTTCAAAAGTCTTCAGATGCAAACATATGGACTTTTGTAATGCTTTTTGAAACTTGGCCTCCATATTTTTGGGTTGTGTGCAATAGAACATCTTTAAGATTGTTAATAAATTTTTGGTATTTATAGACATGAAAAAATATAAAATTATAATCAATAAATAATAAATTGTAATAGATTTGCCAAAATCTAAACCTTTAATAAGCTAATTTAACTTGACAAAAGCAAAATGTAAAGAAAAATAGCAGTGTATACAATTCACAGTACATACAGTGGTAACGGAAAGTATTCAGACCCCCTAAATATTTTATTGCAGCTATTTGCTAAAATCATTTAAGTTTTATTAAAAAAAGAATATTATTTATTAAAAAGATTTATCACAATTCTTAAGTAATCAGACCCTTTGCTGTGACACTCATATATTTAACTAAGGTGCTGTCTATTTCTTCTGATCATCCTTGAAATGGTTCTACACCTTTATTTGAGTCTCACTGTAAATAATGCTACAGTAATACTGAATCACCCTTTTTTCTTTCACTGCACTATTGTATTTCCAGCATGCTGTGTGACTAAAGGCTTGTTTCAGCCACTGAAGTGCTTAACAATCGATCTCAGTCACTCCAATAAGGTTATAGAAGTCATAATTATTTCATTTGTGTACCATTTAAAGTGTCATTCATCATCTTTTGACTCGTATGCACAGAGGAGTGCTTAAATGCAATAGTGAAACGTTGAGGCCAAAAACACCCTCACGCTATCTTTTGCATTCGTGCCCCATGTCATCTCTGCAGGGCACGTGTGTACGCGTGTAATGTTTTATTTATTTTCTTTTGCTACACGCTTCCGAAATTGGAGTTTGTCTTTTTTTCTGTTGGCTATGCAATTACATGCTTTTTTTTTCAAACAAGGTCTATTTCCTTACTGGAACTGCACTGCAGGACAAACTGATCGTTGGTAATAAAGATGTTTGAAACTCTGTCTGCATCTTGGACCATCCAACTGCTAGTGATTTTTTTTTTTTCAAAGACAAACTGAGCCAATAAGTCTCAGAACAAAACTAAACCTCCAAAGCCTGAGTTTTATGTTGATGCATAAAGTACATGATGCATACTGTATTTCATCATCATAAAGAACAGAGACACACAATTTTTTTTTCCGTAAAGCACAAAATGAAATGTTTAGAAGAATGTGCAAACTGCTCTTTTCCATATTTATTATGTTGGCTTGAGAAACTACTAAATACTACTCTTTTCTCAAAAACAAATGTATCTCCTCCTCCTATCCTCCATGCTACAAAGCCCAAATTTGGTTCAGTTGTGCCTTGTGTGTCAAGATTGTTGCTATATCTCCTTATGCCAATCAGACTTAAATTTTTTTAATAAAAAAATGTCAAAAATTACATATTAAAAATCTGGCATATAAAAAATGCCAAAAGCAAAAAAAAGCCCCGAATTTGGCCAAAAGATGTCTCCTGCATTACATTTTGTTGCTATTTCTTTTCCGGTTTATCAGACGTGTAGATTTCCGATAAATTATTTTAAGCATTATTTTTCCCAAAATATGGCAAGCTATGAACTAAAAGGTTTAGACTCCTATTTATTACTGATATGGCAAGCCAATTTGACTTAAACTCCATATTTTTACTGATATGGCAAGCCATTTTCCATGTATCACTTTCACACTTATTATGCACTATATTTTCAGTAAACTATGGCAAGCCATTTTTTACATAAAGTCCAAGTCCAGTTTTTGACTGTCAGAGAGACATTAAGGTTGTCTCAGTTCTCAATTGTCCCCATAGCAATAAAACAGGCTAACCTAGCAACCATTTAAGAACAGCAATATCTCTACATTAGACCATCATAGGGACTTAGGTATTGCTCGTTTGACTCATGAAAATAGGATGTCCTGTGTACTATGCATGATAACAATGATAAACCAAGTGCTAATTACGATTAGCTACATGCTATTAACGATTTAAGTAAAGTAAAAAGTAAAAGTAAACAAATGCTAGAAATGCCTACTAAGTATTAGCAAAGAGCATAGAGCAGGGGTGGGCAAACTCGGTCCTGGAGGGCCGGTGTCCTGCATAGTTTAGCTGCAACACTAATCAAACACAGCTGAACAAGCTAATCAGTGTCTTCAAGATCACTAGAAACCTATAAGCAGGTGTGTTTGATTACAGTTGGAGCTAAACTGTGTAGGACACCGGCCCTCCAGGACCGAGTTTGCCCATCACTGGCATAGAATCACCAAGGCGACACTCAATTAAAACAAAAGCAATTTCCAAAACGTTGACAAGACTAAATTTTTATATAACATCTGTTTAACTTGTAACATGAAAGTAAGGTTAACAAAATAACTTAAGTTACATTTTTGTTTACTTTTACTTAAATTAGGCTGATGCAATAATGAGTATACCCACATCAGCATGTTCAGTTAGATGCAGATCAGGAGACATAGTTACAATAATATATATACATATTTACTTAAAAGCTTTATTAGCTTTTCTTTAACAGACAACACTGAAAAAATTATAAAGCTGTAACATATAATACTGCAGCAAAAAGTGTACTTTCAGTTTGTTATCAACATCTCATTTGGAAGTTATGTTAAATTTAATTTAACATGTTGGTATTCATTTATATTATGCTACTGTTAAACTATTAAAGTAATTTCAGCTAAAAGTGACAGTTTCAGTAAAAATAAATTCACTCCAAAATGGCTGAATCGCGGGGCTGTTGCTGCTGTTGCAATGGAGTGTCGCCTCTTGGTAATTCTAAGCTCTTTGATATTAGCATTTGATCAAACATGTACACCAGCATTGTCATTTATCAACTGCTTAGCAACCATCTAGCAATGCCATAAACATTTTAGCAACCACTTCGCAACCACCGTACTTCCTGCCAACTGCCGTTAGTGCAGTCACGTTGGCTTTCTCAAGCTAACATCGGAGTTCATCAATGAACTTTAGGTTCTAGTTACATCTTAAAGTTGTTGTTGTTGTTAGACTTCAAGAGTCTATGCATAGCACATTTTATCCATGTGTGCTGCTTGATTTTTCTAATAATAATTTTATTTAATAAAAATAAAGCTATTTAAGTCCAACTAACTCTTACTTAAAAAACAAGTTCATTCAGCTCTTATTCTGAAGAGTATCTTTCCTGAAAGTTGAACTGTCTTTTTTTTAACCATTTTGAAACCATCAAAGCATCCAAGAAAAGTTTGATGTGAATGTTAAGAGTTCAGGAGATTGAAAAGTTGGGTCATGTTTTTTGATGGGAAAGACATGGATGTTCTTTCAAATTCGAAGGCAGACATGCAATATTCAGACTGTGATTTAAACATGGAGTGACATCAATCAGCTTACGCGGCGACCCTCGACACATGCCCTGATGGAAAAAAAAATTAATGCAGTTTTGTGCAAATGGGAAACTGTTGCCCTTGAATGTAACTCGGAACAGAGCATCCATGAACTGAATGCTCATGAGGAGACCTCACACTGTTATCCTGCTGAATTGATGCAGTATTGAGCAGCAGGATGTTGATGATAATGTCCAACAAGGAAGGATTAAGCTGTGTGTGGCGCTGATAGTGGTTGGTTTGTGTTTACAGGAATGCAACAATAAGAAGAACTGCCACTGTGAGGCTCACTGGGCACCTCCTTTCTGTGACAGGGCGGGGTTTGGCGGCAGCGTCGACAGTGGGCCAATGAGACAAGCTGGTACAGTGATTGAAAGCTGCACTTTTGCAATGCCATAGCAGTATGCGCAACACTAACACAGCATGACTATGTTGCTATGCTTCAATTCATGCTTTCTGAATTGATTATGTGCTTCCTTCTGATCTAATGCAAGAGAAACATATAGTTCAGCAGTCTAAATAACACAGATCATGTTTTTTAAAAAATATTTCCGATATTGATTTGAAATGACCTTCCCTAGTTTTAAATGTTATTGCAGTACCATCAAACCAGATGATATTATTAACTGAACATTTATTTATTTATTTATTTATTTATTTATTTATTTATTTATTTAATTATGTGTTTATTTATGTGTTTATTTGTTTGTTTATGTTTATTTCATTTGTTTATTTTATATTATTCATTTCTTTGTTTGATTGTTTGTTTATGTTATAGTTTTTTATTTTATGTTATTTATTTGTTTGTTTGTTTATTAATTTAATTATTCATGTGTTTATGTGTTTTTATGTGTTTGTTTAGTTAATTTAATTATTTATTTTACATCATTTATTTATTTAATTTTTTATTTACTTATTTATTAATGTGTTTTTTATTTGTGTTTATTTATTTAATTTAATAAAATATGTATTTTAAATTATTAAATAATTTATGTATTTGCTTATGTTTACATTTATGTTTATTTTATATTATTCATTTATTTATTTGCTCATTTATTCATTCATTTATTCATTTTCTTTTCGGCTTAGTCCCTTTATTAATCTGGGATCGCCACAACGGAATAAACCGGCAACTTATCCAGCATATATTTTATGCAGTGGATGTCCTTCCAGCTGCAACCCATCACTGGGAAACATATATAGACACTATTTCACACACATACACTATGAACAATTTAGCTTACTCAATTCACCCATACCATATGTTTTTGAACTTGTGGGGGAAACTGGAGCATCCGGAAAAAACCCACACGAACACAGGGAGAACATGCAAACTCCACACAGAAATGCCAACTGACCCAGCCGGGGCTCAAACTAGCGACCTTGCTGTTAGGTGATTGTGCTACACCAGGGGTGTCCAACGTCTGTCCTGGAGGGCTGGTGTCCTGCTGATTTTATCTCCAACTTGCCTCAACACACCTGCAAGTATGTTTCTAGAAAGCCTAGTAGGAGCTTAATTAGCTTGCCCAGGTGAGTTTGACTGGGGTTGGAACTAAATTTTGCAGGACACCGGCCCTCCAGGACCGAGTTTGGACATGCCTGTGCTACACACTGTGCCACCGTGCTGCCTATTATTATTTAGTCTAAATACAAATTAGTAAAGGCCACTTAATATTAAGTGGGACTAAAAATATAACAGGAAACACTGCAAAAAAATCCTTGTCCTTTTAATCATCTGTTGGGAATTTGTTTTTATTATAATAAAATATTGAATTATATAATGTATAATAATTATATATATATATATATATATATATATATATATATATATATATATATATATATATATATATATATATATATATATATATATATAAATATATCATATAATTATTATATTTAAATTATACTGGCCATGTGCACTGAGATTTTTCCAAATGATGTACTTCATGAAGTGAAGCCGCTTTCATCCACTCTGTGACATCATCATCAGCACTGCAGATATACCAGTTCAGCGTGAAACTACAACATAATTACAAAAGCCCATTAAACGATTTTCCAGCATAACAGCATTGACAGAACACGTCATTGATTTACTAGTGCAAACCTGAAGCTTTGCGCTCACACACCGCTCGCACATCGCTCACACATCACTCAAGAACTGAGAAACAGCTTGTAAAAAAAAATCAGATCGATCTCTCTTCATTTCTCTCTAACCTGACTCTGGCTTCTTGTGTTTTCCTCTTGTCTGTGGCGTTTCTGTGCCGTGCTGTACAGCAGATGTGCGCGTGTGTGTATTAATGTGCGTGTTGTCCTATGTGACAACAGCGGACAGCAGTGCCGTGGCCGTAGGTTCCCTGGTCACCCTGCTCTGCCTGCTGTCGGCCGGACTGATGCTGTGTCTGAAGAGGAAAGCGCTGGTTCAGTTCCTTTGCGCTAATAAGAAGAACGCCATTCAAAAGCTCAGGTACAGAAATCCCTCCTGCAGAAATGTGTTTGATCCTGGATTCCTGCTGATAAGCATCTGGGGACACAAAGAGAAAGAGAGAGAGGAAAACATTTGTTAAATCTCAAAGGGATGAGGTTTTAAGTTCAGTAGGAGAAAAGGCACTTTTAAAGATCATTTGGATCCATTCCTTTGTGGTCACAGTAACACACTTACAATGGGAGTAAACTGAATTATTCAGTGCAAGCCTGTTTATAATTTAAAGAGATCTTCAACCAGAAGCGAAAATCTTGTCATCATTTACTCATCCTCAAGTGCTTCAATATATTTAAAATTCAATTTAATTCAATTGAAGTTTATCTTTATAGCACTTTTACAATGTGGATTGTGTCAAAGCAGCTTAACATGGAAGTTCTAGTAAACTGAAACTGAGTCAGTCCAGTTTTCAGAGTTGAAGTTCACTTTAGTTCAGTTCAGTGTGGTTTAATTTTCACTGCTGAAAGTCCAAACACTGAAGAGCAAATCCATCGATGCACAGCTCTACAAGTCCCAACCAAGTAAGCCAGTGGCGAGGAACAAACTTTACCAAATTACGAAGTGAAGGAAAAAAAAAACCTTGAGAGAAACCAGGCTCTGTTGGGCAAGACCATTTTTTGGTTTCTTGGTTCTTGGATTGATGTGCGTGCTTTTGTGCATTTTTGCTTTAAAACTACAGCACAGTAGTAATTGTTAATTTTCACTGTGCTTGTGAATTTTGCCAGGTATACTGTCACAATTGCAAGTGCACTGCAAATTAATAATTACTATTGGGCAATAAAACTATGGCACAATTGTAATTGTTAATTTACAGTACACTTGTAAATTTTACAGTATTACTGAAAACCTAAATTGCCAGTAATACTGTAAATGTTCCAGCTATTTTTAGTGTACATTATATCTTTGAAGTTGTCTGGCTTGCCCTTTGTGTGAGCAGTTATATTTGTGCATATGTTTACTGACTTTTTCATCATAATTGAGTTTAATGGAAAGAGTTGTTTAGCTAGTGAAGAATGGTAATTTACCATTCAGCAGATTAAAATGGGTTTAATTTGTTACATTTTTTAAAAGAGGTCTCTTTTGCTCATGATAATTTCCTCAGGGTTTCTTTGATAAATACACTGTTGAAAAAACAGCATTTGTTCAAAATTAAAATCTGTTGGAACATCAAAATATCTTCACTTTCACGTTTTAAGAGGATATATAGCATAGAAATGAAAACTTGCTGTTAGTCGGCGCAATGGCTTAATGGCTAGCGTTATTTAGGTTATTTTCCCTGTAATACATGAAATGCAAGTCAATAGCCACTGTCACTTTACTGACGCTTACAAATCTAAATTAATACCTGTGGCTCCTGATGATACATGGAGGTCCTATGAAGCAAAGCATTCACTCTGGGAAAGAAACTGATTATTTACTATATTATTATCTTAAATCCACACTCAGAACTAGCAAATAGTCCAGTCATGACAGTCTGGAGCTTGAAATTCCTACTGCAGTAGGCTAAATCCACTGCAGATTTTCATTATTGGCTGAATTATCCATATAATGAGCAATGCTGAATAAAATATCCTTTAAAAAAACCTGAAAGATCATCAGACATTTGAATGTCGAGGAGTTAAACATGTTATTCCGTCTCACTTCACATCATGACTGTCATGTTAATACAGTGTTCAGTTTATTATTTACCACCTGGACATTGTAAGTGCCTTACTATAAATGTGTGGTTATTAATATTATGACACAGATGCTGAAAAGAAAATTGCACCGATATTTAAAGTGATCATCTCTTCTGCAGTGTTTAATTGATTTAAAATAGTCAAATAAATTGAAAATCTAATTTTTGAAAACTTGATCCACAGATCAGTTGGACGAAAGCAAACACCCAGCCCTCCTCAGACACAGTCAGTCTTCAGGGTCTCACCTCAGCACAAGCCCCCTTCATTACCCTTACACTCCCGCGCAGACAAGGTAAGTTTTGTACTATTTTTAGCATTTTTGTAGAAGAAGGCATATTTAGACTCTAAACATCGCAAAATATTAGCACTAATGATTGTAAGAATCATTCATTCATTCATGTTGCTTCAGCTTAGTCCCTGATTTATCTGGGGTCACCACAGGGGAATGAACTGCCAATTACTCTGGCATATGTTCCATGCAGTGGATGCATTGTAAGAGTTATTATTAGTAATTCTGTGTAAATAATAACTGATCATATTAGAACAGCAAATCATCAATGAGTATGTTTACATGGACACTAATCATTTTAGGTCAATACTCTGATTAAGAGGCTACCATGTGAACAGCGTTTTTTTTAATTAATTTAATCAGGTTAAGGACATAATCAGACTAAACAGAAATCAGATTAGGATGTGGAGTATGCCGATTTTAGGGGCATTTTTGAAGTGCAGCACAGACATGTAAACACCTTAAACTATTACTATCATGTAGATGTAGGACTTTTCACCACATTTTGCGACAGGATAGTCTTTACACACAACACTGTTTGACACTGGTCTTTGCACCTATCAAGTCAGTGAAGGACGAAATGTAAATAGCAGGGTGATGCAATTATGTTAATCGATCTATGTGCTATAACGTAAAATGGGATCATGAAAGAAACATTCAAACTCAAGTAAACACCTTAATCAAATTATTGTCTTTTTCAGGTTAAGGCAAATAATTCCTTTACTGATCTCCATGTAAACATAGCCAATGATTTTTCATGTGACACTGAATTCCGATGAAAATTCAGCTTTCAATCACAGGAATAAATTCTATATAATACTACATTTAATAAAATAAACATAATTGAAATTTTTTTGTTATATTTTAAAGTTTCACCGGCTTCTGTTTAAACATCAACAAATTTGACTGTTTCCAAACTTTCCAATGGTAATGAACACAAATTCTTACTAAAGCTAATATATGGTATTATAAATGTACAGGTCTGGTCGTTGTTTCTAATGGGTTAAACAGTGTTTGAAGTCATTGCTTCTTCACAAAACTAAATATTTTATGGACTGGCATTAGCATAGTCAGCCTGTAATCAAGCACAAAAAATGTTTGCAGTAATAGTTGTTTAAGTAGAGATATGCTGTATATTACACAGTTTTTATTGTTTACATTTATTAACCAAAATTTACTAATAAAAATCAACAAAATCTTTTCTACATTTGCATTTGTCTAAAGTGTATTAGAAAAGAATCATAGTAAATTAAATCCAAGGAGATTTGTAATTGTAACCAAGCATGGCATTGTATCATTTCTTGAGGAGTGTTCATATAAATTAATATTTACACCCCTATTAACAAGCAGTAACAAGATCTTTTATTAAATCTCAAAATCCATAATTCATTCTCTCAGTGTCTTCCTGCCGATGAAGCGAGGAGCAGATGAGGTCAGATCATGGCAGAATTACTGTCCAAACCCATTCATTTCTGTCTCTGTGTGCGCAGCATCAGGCTTAGGTGCATAATTGATTTATTCTTCGCTATTGACTCTCAAAGAATATTAATGAAGCCCAGATCATCATCTTAAACCTCAGACATTCACGTAGAAGCCTTTCTGTTTTGATTCAGTAATGCAATTGATTTGAAATTGTTTGTCGTGGCTGAATGTCTTTGTGTGCTCAAGTAATCTGGCCTCTCTGTGATTGGATAGTCACCGCTCAAAACTCCATATCAGTCGATATAGATAATTATCACATTTCTTTTCAACATTCTGAGTGAAATCAGACAATTAATTTCTCATTTTAACTATGCTTTATTGTCAGAAAATGACAAAGAAGTCAACCAGATTCCACAAATCTGAGGTAATATATTTATAATTCATATTTATAAAACATGTTTTGAGTAAACATTTACAGAGTATCTTAACATAAATCTTCTGTGATTTCTAATCAGGAAATTATGTTCATTAAGCCAATAACATCTGTAAAGAAATCATATTTAAGTATTCTGCTTTTAACTTTATTAAATTTAATATTCATTCATTCATTCATTCATTTTTCTTTGGCTTAGTCTCTTATCTATTGGTGGTCACCACAGCGGAATGAACCGCCAACTACTCCGTCATATGTTTTACTTAGCAGATGCCCTCCCAGCTGCAACCCAGTACTGGGAAACACCCATACACTCTCGCATTCACACACACACACACACACACACACACACACACACACACACACACACACACACTCATACACTATGGCCAATTTTAGTTTACCCAATTTACTTACAGAGAAAACCAGAGCACCTGAAGTAGACAGTAGTGGTCTTTTCTTTCTTCAATAATCAGCCAAGTCTGATGGTTTTGATTTCAGAAGAGTTCTTTATTGTTGACAACAAAGGAGATTTTTCAGAAGGCCCCCAGCAGCATATCTGCCTGAAAATTCTGCCTCACCAATGGTCTGGCCTGCTTATATCCTCTTTTGCAAAGGTTTTTCACATTGTTCTACATTTGACACACAAGATCAAAACTAGTTTCAACCCCCAAAATAAACCTTGCCACTATATATCTTGTCCATCTAAACTTAACTGTTTTAACAGGTGTTGCCCCTTTTCTCATGCATCCCTTGTGACACCTTGGTTGTTTGCTCAGGCCATCTCTCTTTTCTAACTCTACATAGTACTTTGATTATTTTGATGGTAACAAGCAAATTAAGCAGATTATACACATACAATTTAATTCAATTTGATTATAAAGGTTAACTTTACACTTTAAAGAGTAAAAAATCCACTTCAACCCTCGTGAACATGCAAACTCCAACCAGAAATGCCAACTAGGCCAGGCGGGGACTCAAACCAATGACCTTCTTACTGTGAGGTAACGTTGAGCCACCATGCCGCACCCCTAAATTTAATATTGTCATCCATAATCATTCATTCATTCATTTTCTTTTCGGCTTAGTCCCTTTATTATTCTGGGGTCGCCACAATGACAACTGCCAACTTACCCAGCATATGTTTTACACAGTGATGCCCTTTAAGCTGCAACTCATCACTAGGAAACATCCATTCACACTCATTCACACTACACACATACACTACTACAATTTAGCTTACCCAACTCACATATACCACGTCTTTGGACTTGTGGAGTTAACCCACTAGAACACAGGGAGGACTTGCAAACTCCACATAGAAATGCCAACTGACCCAGCTAAGGCTCGAACCAGCGACCTTCTTGCTGTGAGGCAAACGTGCTACGCACTGTGCCACTGTGCAGCCCGTCATCCATAATATTAATATTATTATAATCAAATTTAACTGTGGTTTCTGTGAAAATTGTATAATTAAGAATGGCCTGAACATATTTAACAAATACAAATTCACAACTGCAGCAGCGTAAAAGAACACTCCACTCCACAATTTTTTATAAGTCATCTAGTGTTAAACAGTTTTACTATTTTTAAATCCATTCAGGCAATTTCTGGGTCTTTCAGGTGCACTGTTAGCTTAGCTTAGCATAGATCATTGATTTGGATTAGACCATTAGCATATTGCTCAAAAATTACCAAATTTTCCTTTTTAAAGCTTGATCCTTTTGTTGTTACATTGTGTAGTAAGACTAACAGAAAATTAAAGTTTTTTTTTTTTTTTTTCAGGCATTGCATAATATATCATTGTGCCTGCTGCAGCTACAGTACAGCAGCAAAGCTTCTTGATTATTATTTCAGAATGAGTATAATTCCTATATCAGCCTTAAAAATAATGACTTTTTTATTTTCTGCTGGTTTTAGCATACAGTATATCTACAGAATCGTCAAAGTTTAAATAGAAAAAAATATAAAGTCTTTGTTCATTTTTGATTGAGATGCTAATGGTCTGATCTGATTCAATTATTTATGCTAAGCTAAGCTAAAAGTGCTCCCGCCAGACCTGGAGATCAACTAAATTGATTAAAAAATGATGAAAGCCAACTGTTTTACTCTATAAGTTACTTTCGCTGTTTTCAAAAAAAGTGGAGTGTTCCTTTAATAGCAACCAATGCTGTAATTATATCAAATTGTTCCTTCGGTACATTTAACGCACATCTACATTGTATAATACAATACATAAACCTCCAAATCCTGACACAAAACCATAATGCTAATGGTACTTTATCAAAGGAAAATTATTTAATGATTATTGCTGTAATTATTTTAACAGCCAACCCTTCACATTTAAATAAAAAAAAAATAATAATAAAGTAAATCTTCAATATTGCTGTTAATGGTTCCATGGTGAACCTTAAACATCCATGGAAACTTTTCATCCCTAAAATAGTTCTTTATTCATTCATTTATTTTCCTGCAGCTTAGTCCCTTTATTCATGAGGGGTCGCCACAGTGGAATGAACCACCAACTTATCCAGCATGTTTTACACAGTGGATGCCCTTCCAGCAGCAACCCAGTACTGGGAAACACCCATACACTTTCATATGCACACACTCATACACTACGGCCAATTAAGTTTATTTAATTTTCCTATAGCGCATGTCTTTAGACTGTGGGGGAAATCGGAGCACCCGGAGGAAACCCACGCTAACATGGGGAAAACAAGAACAAGAACTCTTGCTGTGAGGCGATTGTGCTACCCACTGAGCCACCATGTTGCCCACAGTTCTTTATATAGTGGACAAAAGGTTATTTAGAATATTATTGTTTTACAGGCTATTCTTCTATGGCATCACTGTGAAAATCCATTTTTGTTTCCATCTTAAAATAAAGAAGCAGGGATAGTATTGGATTTTGAAGTGATGTTTGCAGAAATTGATTTCTGGAAATGTTCTAAGGTCAGCAGTAGATCTCGTATTGAATTGTTCTTGAAGATCTGTCTGTCTTTTTTTTTTCACAGATGTCTCATCCTAGTTCGGAGCCTCTTCTTCCTGCGCACAGTTTCCAGAGTTTGCGTCGTATGCCTGAATGTCCGAGCCGCTGCCAGCCTGTCCACATCAGCCACCCAATGCCCATCACGCTGCAGCCTCACAGGACACTGAGAGCGACAGTCGTCCACACGCTGCCACGTCACATCGCATACACGCACACACAGGTCAGTGCTGTCTGCCTCTTTCACCATATACTGACAAACTGTGGCATGAAGAGTGTGAACATGTCATGCTGATACACACTAATGATGAAGTTATAAAACTGTCTCGGTTTGTTTGGTTACAATTTTGTGGAAATACATCAAAAATTAATTGTTTATGAAGAAAGATAGTTTCATATAGTTTAGTTTTATATAATATAATATAATATAATATAATATAATATAATATAATATAATATAATATAATATAATATAATATAATATAATATAATATAATATAATATAATATAATATAATATGAACAAAAGCATTTTTAATAAATATTCAATTAAAATCCTATAGTTTTCTATAAATACATAACAAAGAAAAAAAGCATTGAATAGATTAATGACATCATGGATATAATATAATGCTTATGCTAACATAAATGTAGTTTTAATAAATATTAAATATCAAAAAGTATAAAAATTTAGGTTTTGTATACACACAAAGATAACAGAAAGATATTTTATATAAAAATATAAAGATTAGATCTGATGAAAGTTTAATTACTGACAACTAAAATAAAATGATATATTTCAAATGCTTACATTTTTGCATTCATTAAAAATCATACACTCAGATTTTTCTGTCTCCAGAGCATTTTTAATAACAAACATACTAAGCATTTTATTCTAGTTTCAGTCCTTTCTATAATATTAATAATAATTATTATTATTTATATTATTAGTAGTAGTCATTGTAGTAGTCGTCTTAGTCATAGTAGTAGTAGTGGTCATCGTCATAGTAGTCGTCTTCATAGTAGTAGTAGTCTTTCTAGTCGTAGTCATAGCAGTCGTTGTCGTAGTAGTAGTCGTCGTTGTCATAGTAGTCATCTTCGTACTGTAGTAGTAGTAGTAGTCGTCATACTATTAGTAGTAGTAGTAGTAGTAGTAGTCGTAGTCATAGTGGTAGTAGTAATAATCGTAGTCGTAGTAGTAGTAGTAGTCATTGTCGTAGTAGTCCTCATTGTCATAGTAGTAGTAGTAGTCATCGTAGTCATAGTCCTAGTAGTAGTACTCCATGTTGTCATAGTAGTGGTAGTAGTACTAGTCGGAGTCGTCATAGTAGTAGTAGTTGTAGTTTTAGTTGTAAGCATAGTAGTAATAGTCGTCGCTGTAGTAGTAGTAGTCATAGTTGTAGTAGTCGTAGTAGTTGTAGTAGTCATAGTAGTAAGAGTAGTAATAGTTGTCGTAGTTGTTGTAGTAGTCGTCATAGTCATAGTAGTCATCGTCATAGCAGTCACCTTCATAGTAGTAGTAGTCTTTGTAGTCGTAGTCAAAGTAGTCATTGTCGTAGTAGTAGTAGTTATCGTCGTAGTAGTCATCTTCGTACTGTAGTAGTAGTAGTCGTCATACTAGTAGTAGTAGTAGTAGTAGTTGTAGTCATAGTCATAGTGATAGTAGTAGTGATCATAGTTGTGGTAGTATTAGTCATCGTCATAGTAGTAGTCCTTATTGTCATAGTAGTAGTAGTAGTCATCAAAGTCATATTCCTAGTGTTAATAGTCCTCATTGTTTTACTAGTAGTGGTAGTAGCAGTACTAGTAGTCGTCGTTGGCATAGTAGTCATAGTCGAAGTAGTAGTCGTAGTCGTCGCCATAGTAGTAGTTGTAGTTTTAGTCGTAATCATAGTAGTAACAGATGCACCATAGTAGTAGTTGTTGTAGTAGTAGTAGTAGTACAGCAGTAGTAGTGGTGGTAGTAGTAGTAGTCGTAGTTGTATGTAGTAGTAGTCATTGCAGTCATCGTCGTAGTCGTCGTCATAGGAGTAGTTGTAGTTTTAGTCGTAATCATAGTAGTAATAGTCGTCGCGATAGTAGTAGTCATTGTCGTTGTAGTAGAAGTAGTAGTAGTAGTACAGTAGTAGTAGTAATACAGTAGTAGTAGTAGTGTTAGTAGTCATTGCAGTCATTGTCGTGGTAGTCGTCATAATAATAATAATAATAATAATAACTTCATAATAAGAATAATAAAAGACTTCAAAATCACATTGTCTGCTCTTTGTCTGGAAGCAATTCAAAAACGATTATGAAAACTTTATCAGAGATAGAGTCCATCAACACCTCTATAGCTTTCAGTCATATATCCGAATGTCCTATACAACTGCAGCTCATACACTTTCCACAGCATCTGTTTCTGTGCTTGTAAATCGATAGACAGAAACCAAAGCGGAGGGAGATAGGAAGACATTAACAAGGACATTAAACTTTCCATTGCTCTACAAGGCACATCAGTGACTTACATGAAGTTTCCAGCCGCAGATGAACTGAAGAACAGCAGCATAGTGGCAGACAGAGTGAACGCAGGACTGAAAGTGATACGGAGAGATGTCTGTGTGTGAAGGTATGCGTTTTAGATGATAAGTGCAGCTCAGGGACACTGGAAGATCAGCTATCAGACGCCATGAAGAACAACATCTGCTGCTCCACTTCATTGTGTTCGAGTCAACTGACTGAGCTTCAGTCCAGCTGCACCTCTGATGCTTTGTTATAGAAGTGCCATATAGCTAGTGTTATGATAACTTATCGTACTCTGAAATAGCACACACAAATAATAGATACTAAATGCTATACTAGAAGTAATCTAGATCCTCTTTTTAAAGGCCTTAAAGTCCATGTAAAATCCAAATTTTTGATGTTTATTTTGCTAGCGCTCATTGTTATTCTTCAGGTGAACAATAAATCTTCGATCAAAGTCTGACCATTTGCTTTCACATTTTGAGTGGTGGACCTTCTTTGTTGATATCAGTTAACCACACGTCTCTTAACTGCATTTAGCTAGGATGGAATAATGAAATAAAAGTGGGTGGCTCCGTAGTTAGCACTGTCGCCTCACAACAAGAAGGTCTCTGGTTTCAGTCCCAGCTGGCCTAGTCGGCATTTCTGTGTGGAGTTTGCATGTTCTCCCAGCTTTCACGTGGGTTTTCTCCAGGTGCTCCGGATTTCCCCACAGTCCAAAGGCATGCGCTGTAAGTGAATTGGTTGAACAAAATTGCCCGTAGTGTATGTGTGTGTGTGAATGTGAATGGATGTTTCCCAGTACTTGGTTGCGCCTGGAAGAGCATCCACTGCGTAAAATGTATGCCTGAATAGTTGGCGGTTCATTCCACTGTGGCAATCCCTGATAAATAAGGGACTAAGCTAAAAGAAAATGAATGAATTAATGATTGAATGAAATAAAGTCTCAGCAACTTCTGATTTACACGGACCTTAAGGTAGACAAAATACATTGAAAAATGAATGTATTAATCTTGATATTGAAAATACACATACTGCAGAAATATATCCAATTGAAATCAGGATTAGTGTAGCTGTAAATCATTACAATTTGTAACTTTACAATAAACATTAAAAATGCTTGCATTTATTTTAAATGATTAACATTTTGACTAAAGAAACCTATGTAAAGAATAATTGATGATGGTTGAGGTGTGCAACATTTTCTAACAATTCAATGAAGTAGAGTTAGTTATTCTGCCCATAAACTCTCAGAAATAAAGGTACAGGAGCTGTCACTGGGGCAGTACCTTGGTAAAACTTACATATTGTGTCTATAATGGTACCTCAAAGGTACTTTTTAGGTACATTTGGGTACTAATATGCACTTTTTAGATACCAGTGTGGACTATTTGGGTACAAATATGTATCTTTCTTTCTGAGAGTGTACTATAGTTACCACATCTATAATTCAGATGTTGTATTTCAAGACATATGTCAGGTTTTTGCCCTCAAACTGCTCCTTTGCATAATATTACTTTCTTAAGCGTCATCCAAAGCCTTTTGTTTTGTTAATTTTTTTTGTTTTGGCTTGTTGTAGGCTGTAATTTCTAATAACTCAAATTTTTCAGCGTAGTGATATGGAAGTGTACAGATATGGTCAAAACCTGTCTGGAACTACTTTATCCATCGGTTTATCTAAAAATAACTGCACGCCTTAGGTTTGTCATTAGCCAATCAGAATCAAGCAATTAATAGCATATGCATTATGCATTTACACAACCAAAAATATGAACAATGGAGGAAAAAAAGCATTTCAAAGCAATTTTTCTTAACACTTTAAGTCTCCATGAACCGGAAGCTGCGACTTGTATTTTTTCGTGTTGTTTCCTAGAGAAACAGAATATTAAATGAGAAAACAGTGGGCGTGGCTTGTTTTTTCTACTGCAAGCTAATTGGATGTAGTAAAGTAGGCATTTCATTCAGAAAGATCAGGAAAAGTGTTTGGGGAGAGTTATTACAATCTAACAGACACCTCTTCACCATTTCTGTTTGTTGTCAAAACTGACAGTTGGACTGGTGTGGTTAAATATGTTAGCCACGCCTAATTCCTAGGATATACACAATCTGACAATTGAACTGAAAACAAACAGGAAGTACTTTTTACAGATTCTAATTAAGGATTAGAAATGCAAGAACTAAGGATTAGAAATTTTCTTTACGACATGCACAAATGAATTGTTCACCACAAAGCAATATGAGCTAACAAAATCATATGGTTTGTTCTGATTTCTTGGGGACTGAATGTGTCCTAGTTAGACATTCCAAGTACTTACTACAGTATAGTGATGACAATTAATCATGCATAATCACATTCAACCCAAGACCTAACCCTCATCCTGACCCTAACCATACATATAAGTACATGTAATTATTTATTATTACTCAGTAGTTCATTGAAAAACTAGACTAAAAAAAGGACACCTTAAAATAAAGTATAACCAAATTTTCTATTATCTGTGACATGATTAATCCTCTTATCCTTCACTTTATAAAAACAAAGACATTTTTATTTTTAAAGGAAAGCACCAGCAATATATGGCATCATACTTGAATAGAAAGTGATGTTTTTGACATAGTATAAACAAAACAATATATCTTAGCATGAGGCCAGTGTTGATACAATCATTTACTAACCTTGTGTCTGCAGTTTTATCCCATAGAACTGTCTGTCATAACAATATAA